TATTAGGAGAATGTAAACACTACACAGCAATTTAACAATAGTCAGCATAATTCAATTCAAAGAAGATACAGAATAGGGGTTAATAAGAAATAAGAGAGGGCAAGGCAGACGTTATATTCTACACAATGGAGAGTTAAGTTAGAACTAAGATAAATACAAAAAATAAAGAGCTTATAAAAAATAATACCATGAAAGGCTTCAAATAGCAACAGTAAAGCAAATGCTCATATTGAACTTTTATAAATTAGAATTTAGGGCAGGCAGTATAAGAGAATAAAAGACACAGAAGTGGCCTATCCCAGAAACTGCAGAAAAATTCAGTAAGCTATATATAAAGATAAAAGCAGCTTTTCTGAGACATAGTAGTGTTTACAAGGATGAGAAAAGACACAATGCAGTTATCTGCCTTTGTGCCAAGAGGGGTTTCAGGCCCTGAGTTAGTATTCAAGTTGTTTCCTTGTATCCTATCACATACATGTACATTCACAGAATGCTATTATGTGTGTGAAACATTTTATAAAAACTGTGCTTGGTAAGGATAGCTATGGGTAAGACTTTTGATATTCAAATTGAGGTTCAGTTTATATATGCAAAGTGTTGATTTATCCCTAATCGTTCTTCTGTTCTTTTTTTTATTTACTTATTTATTTATTTATAAAAATTTCCACATCCTCCCCTCCTCCCCATACCCTCCCATTCCCCATTCTTCTGTTCTTACTCCTCAAAACTTTAATTGTATTTGTGTGGATCATCTTTGCTTTTATATCATTTCAACCTCTTTCCTTCCCATCTTTTACTTCATTATCATTATCTAACAGACATTTGATCCAATTGTCCAAATGCACATAGCAGTTTGTTTAAATGTCTTATTTGTCTTCGTTTAGTGAGTTTTATAAAAATTTTCTTTGACTCTTTTCCTCTTTGAATGCTTGATAACTTCTCACTAAATATTATTTTAGCTTTTAGGCACTTTCCCCTAATTTTTATTAAATATTTGTATCCTTCACCCCACTATCTCCTTCTGGTTCATGTCTCTTCATTTTGATTTTTTAATGTGTGCTTATAGAATGTACATCTACATCTATTCTTATCAGTAGAAGGAGGCAGGTAGATGGGATTCTAAGTTTTGATTCTTTTAGAACTGTTGTAAATCAGTTTTATTTTCAATTCTGTGTTTGTTTCATGGAGGAATGGTATATCTGATGAGCAGATTCTCACCTGTAGTACCATTTTGCATTCTCCTACCAACTCATGACCAGGAATTTTCCTATTCCTGGGTAGGGTGCCAAGGCCAAGGACGTTCTCTTCCTTCAGTACAATAAATTTCTCATTTCCTAATGACTGACATTTTGGGCGGTAGTTAGGATAATATATTTGATATGTGTTATAGTTTTCTGTCATTTCTTTGAGGTTAGTAGGATTTCCCAAAGAGGGAAGCATCGCTGGTCACCTATCTCACATTTCCTGTTACCTCAAAAGTCAAAGTCCACTGAAGTCCTCAATTTTAAGCCCTTTAATTTTATGTTTAAAACCATCAATGCTAAGAAGCACCATGACCCAGAGATGCATTTAGCATTGGAGCATTTGTTCTGTTTGGCCCATTTGTTTCTGTGCTTTATCTAGTATCACTTCATCAATACCTTCTCGGTGGGGTATTTTCAGTATCTAAACCTCTGCTCTATAGACACCTGCTAATGGTAAAGATTTACTGAAATCTAATGTACATATTGGTGGTGGTTTGAATGAGAATGGCCCTATTAGGTTCATAGATTTGAATGCTTTGTTACCAGTGAATGGTCTTGTTGGAGGAAATGTGTCACTGGGGGTGGGTTTTGAGATTTCTAAAGCGCATCCCAATGCCATAGTCTCTGCCATCCTACTACCTGTGGATCCAGGTGTGGAACTCCCAGCTCCCTCTCCAACACCATGTATGTCTGCATGGTGCCATGCTTCCTGCTGTGATGATAAAGGACTAAACCTCTGAAACTGTAAGTCAGCCCCAAATACATGCTTTCTTTTAAAAGAGTTGCCGTGAACGTGGTATCTTTTTCTAACACTAGAATGGTGACACTAACGCAATATCATACACGGTAATTTTAAATATACATGATTTTATACATCTTATAAAGGTGAAATTCTGTGTGTCGAAAACAGTTATTTTGTATGACAGAAAGGTAATTCCCTCTTTATTTAGAGAAAGCTTGTATGCAAAAGTTGAAATATGGTTAACTGCTGCTAGTTTAGGGACCAATCCAAACTAAATTAGAAACTGTTTTTCAAAAATGATTCCATATTTGTTATATTACATCAGTAAATCTTAGAAAACTTAAATTATAACTAAATTATTCATGATGAAACTTCAAAATATATTATTGTTTAATACTATGGTACAGTACTGGTTCCTATAGAAAACTATATATTGTATATATGTCTATATTGTATATATGTGTTCAGTGACTAGAAGAAATGAAGATAAAGGGAGAAAGAGAAAGACACGTGTGGTAAGAAAAGTAGAAAGGCAGAGAGACACCACGACAAGGACTGTTAGAATTTCTGCCTGCAGACACAGAAGTATAGACCCAAACTCAATTATTCCATGCATGAAAAGGAATGAGAGGGTATTATCAAATAACAGGCTGCGATTAGAAAAAGGGCCGACAAGAGTCTAAATGGGAAAAATAGAAGCTGATAACTGAGGGACATTCATAATGAAATGCTATGTATAGTGTAAGTTTAATTTTCTTACTTTACAGTGAAATTTGGAGTGGCATCTTCACTCTCTTTTAGCTTTTAAAAGTGAATTTTTCATTCAATGGAATACAAAATAGAATCAAATTCTACTTTAGAAGATAAGTTTTGTACTAAACAAGACAAAGCATCAGCAGGGGTAGAATAGCCCTCGATATTGTTTCACATAATAGGTCAGAGTACTTTTCTTTTTCATTGAATATTTTATATTCCATTAAAGTCCTTTTAAAGAATTGACTTTTGTTTCAGTATACTCTTCCTTACCCGTGAGCTCATAAATGGCACTGGGGAGAGAGACTACATAGTTATTATCATACACAGTATGTCCATTGCTCCTTGCTTCAATAAGGGAGTCTCTGTCTTTATCTGGCTACCGACTGCTCAATCTATAAGACCCAACAGATCACTCAAAGTTCACAGAGAATGCCGTGGTTAATATCAATTAGCAAAACATATTGAACAAACATGAATGTGAGAGACTGACTGATGGGAAGGAGGGAAATACATAGGGAAGGGAGGGAAGTGAAGAGAGAGTGTTAAACAGGTCGTGCATGTAATTGTTTGAGACTAAATTTAATTAAACATTAAGTAAAAATAAAATCAACCAATAATATTAGTTGATATTAATTTTTAAAGTCTTGTTTCAGATTATCCCTTGCAAGTTCATTACCTGGAGTTAACTATAGGTCAGATACAGGGCTCATAGGTGAGGAAGACTTTCAGCATATACTGCATTCCAAATTAAGGCGTCTACTGAGCGTTCTTTTCCCACCACACTTTCTATGCTGACTTTTCAAAAGGTTTTGAACAACTGGACAATGATCTCACTTACTTTTGCATTAAGTATCTTCAAACATTTAGTAGCCAAACCACTGAAAAGTCGTGATTTATGTGCGTCTCTCTTTTAGCATTTAAATAAAAACCAAAACACATTGTAGCTAGTTTTTGTTACAATGTTTACCATGCTACAGTTTCATTTTAGTATTGTTTAGAACTATGAATTGAAACAATGTTTAGGTCATTCAATTTTCTACTTCTTGTGTATAACACTTAGAAATTTGTTCTCAGTCTTACCACTGAAAAGCAGTGTGTGTTACCAATCAATTAGGATTAAAAATTGCACTTATTCATTGTTTCATCATAAAGTCATTTGGCGTGTAGTGCATTGTGATCTAACAGTTTCATCCCTGTAATATGCCTGTCACAGGATAGTTTTCTGCTCTGTGACGTTAGCCGCTTCATGAAGACTAACTACATTTCGTTACATTTCAGTTTTGTATTCTTCAGCCACCGGTAAGAGAAGCATTGCACGTCTTACTGCTCTTTGGTTAATTATGTGAAGACATTTGCAACCTGTTTTTCAACATTCTGCTTCCCTTAATGACCTCCATTTCCCTAAAGGATGGGTGTAGGTAGCTAGTCAACTGCAAGAGACATTCGCTTGCAGATTTTGCCTTTAGTGAAGACCCCGCCATATACTGGAAAGTCCCTTCCCAGGAGAAATATTCTGGAGTCAGGGTAAGGGTCTCCTTACTATTTGGATTTAGTTTCCACATGCACAGGACTCACCGCCCACCTTAGAGAGCTACAAAAGATTGTTAGCAAGTGTCAGTTTTTCAATTATTGGTAAATTCTCAAGTTCAAGTGAGCATCCAGCAGTCACCAGACCTAAACCCCAGTGTGGCAAACAGGGATAAGGATTGAGGGCCTTGAAGTCCCTTCAGTTTTCAGGATATATATACAGGGTCCCACCATATATACAGGGTTCCACCACTATAGTGACTCTACAGAGAATAGGAACAGTCTTACTTTGCTACCACAAAGTCTCAAAAACATTTTGAAACATTTATATTGCTTCTTGATTATGTATACAGTGCATAAGTCCTTCATAGCCATGATTATGCATTGTGGTTTCAAAAATATTTTTAGGAATTCCACAGGCCAAAAATCTTGATGATGTTGCCATAGATATGAACCACTCACAAAGCTCCAGAGAAGACATGCATTAGTTATCAATTTCTATGAGCAGAGAGTGTGTGATCCCTGTTGCAGAGTGTGAAGGTGAGAAAGTATGAGGTAGTGACTTCAAAAGAAATGGTGCTATATTGACCACAATTCTGGGATTCTGCCTCTGTAACTTTCTAATTCCATATTAACATTTCCCTTACCACTCGGAAAGACTAGAAAATTTCAGCAATGTGACAAGTACGCAGCCATCACCAGTTATCTTGCCTTGTACCCCATGCAATTACCTTGTGAAGTCTGTCATCTCCATCATGATCATGCACATCTTCTTGGCAAGAACGATGATGTCATTGCTTGTGTCATCCCATATCTCGATCTCAGCATCCAACTTGCTCTTCACCTTCTTGAAATCAGCCACTTGCTCGGCAATTTTCTCCTTTTCTGCCTCGGGCAGTTGAGTCATCTTAGCCTGAAATGTGATAAAAATCACATTTTTTATCAAAAAATTTAATCAAAAATTTAATCAAAAAATTTAAAATCACTCCTCTGCAGAGGCAGCATCTTAGGAAAAAGCATTCGCTACAGAACATTTATACAAATACTTCATTTAAAATCAAGAAACCTAGAGTCTACGTCATTCAACCTGAAGCTTCCTATTGGATTCAAATGGAAAAACCTACACGATTATAAATATTTGCTCTCACGCTACACAATTACATTTGAGGGAAGAAAGGTAGACATTGGTATCTGATGTTTTAATTCTCCTTTATAAAATAGTCTGCTACTATTCTTCTAGTATGTCAAAATTTTAAATTGATTACAAATGAATTTGAAATATCACATCTGTTTAAATGCATATTCTTGATTTACTTTGAATTTTATTAATAGAACACTTCAAAAGGTAAAGTTAAACAAAATCTACTTGAAATGACACTATGTGTGATACTTAAGTGTGTGTGTGTATGTATATATACATTGTGTGTATATATACGTATATATACATAAACATATAGATCCTTAAGCACTGTGTGTACGTTCATAAACAATTGCATGTGCTTATTTAAAATTATAGATGATATATAAATATATATAGTCTATGCCAAACATTCAGATCCATGTTAGCATATACACTGTTGCCATGGAAGAATAAGAGCGAAGGGCAGGACTTATGAAGGGCATCCTCCCTCATTAGCATACCAGGCCTAGAGGCGCTGCTCCAGCAGCAGACATTACCTGCTTTGGCATGATAGCACTTCGTGACTATGTTACAACCTTAACAGCATGCAAATTGCATCTTCCCATTGCATCTGAAATGAGGCTTTGGTAGGAAACCATGCAAACTCAAACACCACCGAACTCTCAACCTCAGCTCCTGGAATTTGTCAGTTTTGTCAAGTAGAAAAGAGAAAGAGAGAGAGAGAGAATCCTGAAGTGAAAATGGTTTGATATTTCAAAGACCATAAAATCTCATGAAGCTGTCCTTGAAATATATTGTTAAATAGTTAGATCTAAGTCCAATACCAGCAATGCACACACACACACACACACACACACACATTCATACACCTATATTCAGACACACACATACATACCCAGATAGTCACACACACAAATACATTCATACACAATTACACAATCAAATCTAACACATACAGACATATGTATGTACACAGACACACACAGATACCTCCATGGACAAAAGCACATACACATATATACAAATTAATACACATCAGATATTTTTTAGTGTAGGTATATGTAGGTAGATAAGGAAGTATTTTGAAAAGGGCAAAACATGAATGTTGAAGATTTTTATTAGACTGTTTACATAGAAAATATGATATCTATGTGTGTTTCTGGATCCTAAGGAATGGGCACCTATTGATGGGAAAGGAATATCAGAAAACTTTGTGATTTCCTGAATATTAGGTTCAAAATACTAAAAACATTTCTCATTGGATCAATAGTGTATAATAACACAAAACAATCTTAGCTAAATTCCTTTAAAGACTAAGGTTAAAATTCTTGGGACTAGAATTTTTTTAAAGATTTATTTTATTTTTAATTATGCATGTGTGTTTGTGTATGTGTGTGTATGTGGGGGAGGTGTGCGTGGAGAGGGTGCAGGGAGTGTTTATGTGTGGATGTGTTTAAGCACATAGGTGACGGTGGCTGTGAGGGACCGAGGTGAAAGTCCCCAAGGAGCTGTTATGACTGCATTTGAGAACTGAACTCAGGTCTTCCTCAGGAACTGTGCCTGTTCTTAGTCACTGAGCCATCTCCTCAGTCCAGAGGCTAGATTTTTAATTATTGTGCTTTACAATTTTGCTTTCTTAGCAACTGAAAGTAGTTTTTTTCCCCTCTGCTTTCTCTCTTAGGAAATGTGTCCTACACAGGGTGTTAAAAGCCAAACAGCTTTTACTATTGCTGGCATACGGCAAGGGACATAAATGAAGACACAGTTCACTACTACCGGAATCAAAAGTAATAACAAGTATGTTAAGTAAATTGTAAGCTATCAACCTGTTAAACGAGCTTGGAAACAGAAATAGGTTTTCTCCATCTTGAATACTGGTCATTATTTTCCTCCTCTAGTAAAATGTTTACACAGTCATGAAGAGATCCAGCAGAGGCATCTGTGTACAACCTATATCTGAGAGGCAAGAGAGGTAATGATTCTATGGTGTTGGCTGTGCTGAATGTGTGTTGGATATGTTATTATTATTATTATTATTATTATTATTATTATTATTATTATCGTCATCATCATCATTATTAGCCAGCTTGACACAAGTGAGAGTCATTTGGGAAGAGGTGCTCTCAACTGAGAAAATGTGTCTATCAGATTGACTTGTGGGTAAATCTGTGAAGCATTTTCTTGATTAAGGATTGATGTGAGAAGGCCCGGCACTCTGGGAATATTGCAGGTGCCCCTGACTTGTACAAGAAGGAAGACTGAGCTATATATAAGGAGCAAGCCACCAAAGTAACACTGCTCCATAGACTCTGCTTCAGTACCTGCCTCCAGGTTCTGGCCCTGCTTCAGTTTCCGCCCCCTTCCCCACCCCCCAACTCCCTCAGGGATGGGCAGCTAACAAGTATATGATAAAATTAACCCTTTCCTCCCCAACCAGCTTTTACCCGTGCTGTTTTATCATAGCAACAGTAATGACAAGACACCGATTACCAGAATAACCCATGATGCTGAAGTCTATAGCAGAATATTAGTGAAAGTTATCCACTAATGACATCATAACATATTAAGGTGGGGATGTGGTCAAGGGTATTCCAAGTTCTATTCTTAGGAATGTCATTGATCTCGTATATGATATCTAGCAAGTCCTCCATCCACTTAAGTAAGTTTCCCCAAACAGAATGCCAGTAACTATAACTTCCTCTCTCCTCTTGAGGGAGCCCAGTGGATGACTGGACGATATGGCAATGGTAACTGCCACAGACAGGAAACTCGTAGCTTACATCCAACAAACTCTCAATTCACACGGTGAGTTACAATCAAATGACTTTGGGCTCTGACAAGAGAGTGGTCAGAGGTTGAGCCAGAGTTTGTAAAATTGAAGGTTCTGGTAGATTCTAGTTTTTCTGTGCACAGGACAGAAACAATAAAGAATGATTACATTACTGCCTGACACTCTAATTGAAGGGTTTAAGAGGATCTATGAATAATTTATAAAATATCATCAATCAATTTCAATCACTAAGAAAATTTAAAAGTAAAACCCAAGAGAATACTTGATGTTGAGGATTCCGAATTTAAAAAAAAAAAAAAACAAAAACAAAAAAAACATGCTTTTTGTATTATTTTGTACATGGTATGAAAAAAATAGGAATGATGCTTAATATAAATAAGGTCAAGTAGAAATTCTAACATATATAGACAGGTATCTATAGGCCAAGGCTCAGTGTCTACAAGAAAGAATTCTGATACAAATAGCTTTGTAGGTTCTGCCACATAAATGATACCGCACTATGTATTGATTTAGGGGCTTAAAACCAAAGACGATGAAAATACTTGTCAGCAACTTGTGCCAAATTCTCTCTAGGCACCATTTCTTTATTTGAGGTCCCATCTTCATAAAAGCCATATTAGGTAAGGACTACGGTTATTCCAGTTTACCCATGAGGAAAATAAATATCTCTAAGAGACTAAGCAGTTTAATAAGAGTCTAGTGTCAGGCAATGTTTGAACTTGGATTCAAATCATAAAGTGTAGCCAGGAATTCTTCTTCTATTACCATGGCAACAAACATGAATAATGTCACCCGAAATGCACCAAAACATCCACACTGTCCATGAAGGTATCCTCCAACACATGCGCTTCTCGGAATCAGCTTTCCCTCTGCATTCTCCACAGCTTCCTTCGTTCCTAGAATGTGTTGAGTGTCACATACTTAGAAATATTTAATCACAGAATAAGAAAAAGGAAACCTAGTCAAACAAATCTACATCTTTGATTGACGTTTCTCAGAATAAGTTTGCCATATGGACTAGAAACCTCATGAAATGCAAACCTTGCTTTTCTTTATTCTTCTGTTCTGCTAAGGGCACCCATCGTGGCCATGGCGTCCGCCACATTTGTTTGTGTGGCCATCTCATCTTACGTATTTCCAGCTCTACTTTCTGGCATTGATCTCCTCTTTCACTGAAATGTTTACTTCAACTGTACAATTCTAAACGTGTATTTAACAGTATAAAATAGAAAAATATTTAGGTAATAAATTTATCATTGGAACTATTTTTAATTATTTATTTTTATGTTTTGAAATTAAATTACAACAATCTCCCCTTCCTGCTTCTCCCTTCAACACATTGTGTATATCCCTCTGTGCTCTTTTTAAAATTCATGGATTTTTCTTTCATTAACTGTTGCTACCTATATGTATTATGTATACATATATATATATATATGTATATATATATAATTTCTCTGGAATTATTTTTACAATTAGAAAAAATCTATGACCCCAGCAACAGAACCAATAATACACATCACTGAGGCACTGTATGCCTTTAACTATCTTTATCTAATGATCTCCTAGACACTCAAATTTCTGAACCCATATATAAATAACCATGAATTCACAATCTATGAACTCTTGTATTTGCTGTTCCATGTTGAAAACTCATATCTGATCTGCAACTAAGTAACGCACATATTTATGTTCTGCTTGTTGACCTGCGTGGATGGTACTCCACTGTGTACACAGGACAATACTCTGCTGTGTGAACAGGCTGGCATTTCGCTGTGTAAATGGAATGGTACCCCACTGTGTAAACCAGACAGCACTACCCTTGGTTAACTGCAGTGTTCCAATATCTTACATATACAAGCAAGTACTTCACGATGCAAACAGGCCAGTTCTCCGTTGTGTAAACAGGATGGTACCCCTCTCCAAACTGGATGGTATTCCGTTTTGTAAACTGGATGGCATTGTACCGTGTAAACAAGCA